ATGGCTAGCTAGGGGGCCGCGCTTCAATTTTCTCTGGTGCGCTGTAACATTGCGCTTGGCGCTGATTTTTAGCGCCATAAGCGCCGGATTGACCCACCTGCCATGGCCACTGCTCAACCAGCTCCACGCCGACTGCTAGTTCCCTGGCGACAACGGTATGCTAGTTTCGGCACCGACTACGTCTCTCGTCGTCTGCATTCTCAGCTCCGCAGTCCGCTACGTCAGCGTTTGGTTGCCAAGTCCGTCCACGGGTGTTGCAATCTATCTTTCGCAACGGCTTCGTCGCTGGGACTTGCCTTGCACACCCGTTCTGAAACTTTGTCCATCACGCGCGTATTAAATAGTCTTTCGAAACTCTGTATCAACAGCGACGCAATTTAGTTTCTGTTTTTTAACGCCCCTTCGTACTCTGTTCATGTTGTCAGTTACGCATTGCGCTTACAGTTCGCCCGGGGTTGGGAGCTCGATATACCCTCTCATGCTCTAATGTTTTTAGCTGCACTGGTTAGAGAAAAAGCTGAGAGAATGGCGAGTCTACGCCTAAACTCCCCCTTTGAAGGTTACGTTTCGTCCGACTGCCGGAAACAGTTGAAAGTTGTTGTGAACGTGATCGCACGTAGCACGATAAAATATCGATTGCACTTCCGAAACTCCTGATAATAGTCCACGATGAAGCCTTCAGTGAAGGCCGCACGATGCATACTATCTCAGAAACTGTTCCACAGCAAATTCATCGCGTGAAGAACATCTCATGTAGACATTGGGTTCTCCACCCCGAGTTTCCATCTCAGTAGGCTGATGAGATAGTGTCATCTCCGATCGATGAGATGGGTTCTGAGTTCTCCATCTCAGTGTATGAGATTGGGTTCTGAGTTCTCCATCTCACCGTAGCTGATGAGATAGTGTCCATCTCAGTAGATGAGCTGGGTTCGTGAGTTCTCACATCTCCGTGTATGAGATTGGGTTCTGAGTTCTCATCTACGGAAGGGGTTCTCTGAATGCAAAGTGTGACATCAAGTCACGCGTATAGGCAGTGCCGTCCACCCCACGGACGCATCCTCCTCGGGATGCAGTGGAAGACCAGTGTAAGAGGATTGTGTCGCGAGATGCGAGGCTACCGTTCGGTTGCGCTCGGCTGCCGCTGCGTCTTCTCTGGCTCAGCCAGCAGATGCTACTCGAGTGGGCAGTGAAGGTACGTCCAGGTTCGACCATGTCTTCCCTACATCGACGATTTCGTCATCCTCGTGGCCCACCAGCCAAACGCGCTGAGTGCGAAAGGGGCCTGCGCGTGCCTACAGTCAATGTGCAAAAACTTAGGGGTCTCCTTGCGGATCGGCACAAGACAGTAGGTGACCGCTGCGCGGTGTTCTTTCTTACATGTGGCTCGTGGATCGTAGTTCGATTCGTTTTCGGCCATGGTGCTTCGTGCTTTCGGACTGCTGACTAAGACTTCAAAGCTCCATGTCCCTCTCTCTTGATAGTGCCGTAGTTTGCATCACGATCGATGCTCGGGCTGCAGGGGGATTTGTTGGTGGTCCTCTGGTCGGCTATGTCAGTTGCAGCATCGCGAGCGCAGAGAAGAGAGATCTCGTCTCCCATTGCTTCTGCAGCATGCGCATCGAAGTGGAATTTTTCCTATCGTAGTTGCCAGTAGCGATATGGGGACGGCAGTGGAAGAGAGGTCCTGGTCTGCGCCACTGCGACAACGCGGCGGTGGTGGCAGTATCAACTCAGCGGGAGGCATAGGACCGCTGCATCGCCCATCAGCTGCGGGCGCGTTCTACGTGTGTGGCCACACTTGCGAGATTCGGTGGAGCTGCAGCATGGACTGCCAGCAGAGGCAGAGTCAGTTTGTTGGAGATGGTCAGATTGGACTGCCTGTTCGCCGACTCTTTGACTCGGCTTTAGCTCTCCGACAACGGTAATACGCGACTACACCTCGTCACAAGCATCTACGCTACTATACGCCGAATTTGCCCGGCCACGAACCTACGTACCTACGCTGTCGTTGACTCAATCTGGTCTTATGCAGATACTCCGCATGGCTAGCTGCCAGAACATATCATCAGAACCATAAAGTCTTATCTGTCGGCGCTGCGCATACCTTCAGATTCACCGCCGGGGTTGCGACCCACAGATGAGCGGGTGGTGCTTCGACAGATCATGTGCTGCAAGGGGTCAAACGCTCACAGGCGCTGACAGGCACAAGCTAATACCTCGAGCGAGGTTGCCAATCACCACGACATCATGCGGAGCGTAGAAGCTCGTGGGAGGCAGGGCGTCGATTTCAACACGGTCATGCTGTGGGCGGTTGCGTGCACTTCTTTTTTTTTTTGTTTTTTTTTTTTTTTTTTTTTTTTTTTTTTTTTTTTTTTTTTTTTTTTTTTTTTTTTTTTTTGTTTTTTTTTTTGTTTTTTTTTTTTTTTTTTTTATTTTTTTTTGTTATTTTTTATTTTTTTATTTTTTTTTTTTTTTAATTTTGTTTTTTTTGGGTTTATTATTTTTTGGTATTGTTTTTTTTATTTTTTTTATATTGCGTTTTTTTTTTTTTTGTTTTTTTTTGTTTTTTTGTTTTTTGGAAATCTTTTTTTTTTTTTATTAATTTATTGGTATTTACTGTTTCTTTCTATTAAACGAGTGAGGACCAAGGGAAGCTTCTTTTGTGTTTATTTTGTTTTTTATTTTTACTATTTTAGTTTTGTTATTAGATTTTGAGTTGATTTTTTCTTATTGAGGGAGAAGCAAGGGGGACGGAGACGACTAAAAAGGTTTGGGGTTTTACTTATTTGAGTGGGATTTTTTTGTTTTTTTATGTTTTTTTTCTTTTTGTTTATTAAGTTTTTTTTTTTTGTTTTTTTTTTCCGGCTATCCAGAGGTCGGGGGAGTAACCCTTCCGTCGGCTGTCGTCTACATCCGGATCGCCGGGAGCGCACCTGTCGATAGAAATGTCTCAGGTCGATTCTCGGTCAGCACCGTCTAAAGTGTTGGTTCGCATTTAAAAGCCTCGAAAACGGATCCATTCCGCCTGGGAGTGACCATTGTCTCGGGGGAGAACGGGACAAGACCTTTGTTCGGTAGAGACTATCCTCAGCTACATCCCTCGGCGGGGTTTGGCTCCTGGCCCGCTCTTCCGCTACGAAACGGGCGGCCTCTCACCTACGCTGACTCTGGTGAGAGAGATACGGGCCGCGTTAGGAGCAGCGGACTGAATGCAGCGCTCTTCGCGGGCCACAGATTCCTGTATAGGAGCGGCCACGTCGCAGCTCCCGCGGGTGTGGAGGACGCTCTTATAAAAATTTTGGGTAGGTGGCAGAGTTCGGGCCGTACCTGCTCTTCGTCAGGGTGCCGAGGGAGAACCTCGCCAACGTATCGGTCCGTCTGGCCACACAGTAAGAGCGACTTTCTCCTATACGGCCAGAACCTATAGCTACGTAGCTGGGGAGGACCGATGGTATAATTATGTGCGTCTACTTACTCCTGGTGTATATATGTTTTATACTCTATACGTGCTTGGAAGGTGACGCTGTTCCCACGTCCCCGGTGGAAGATAGTCTCAACGCCAAATAACCATCCTCTTCAAAGCACGGGTTGCAAGATCAACCTCGCGCATGCGCAATGCGGCAATCGAGCGCGGCGCATCATCGTCGTCGTCGCGCGCGTCTTGGTCACGGCAGCTCGCGGTATATAGCAGGCCAGGATGCGCATCACCGCGGCCGAGTTCGCATGCGCGAGTTATCAGCTGTGTAGGTGGCCACGCCCCCAGGGCGAGGCCCGCGAGACCGCCCTGCAGAGTCTCACTCTCCATTATTGGCGAGCGAAGCGAGCTAACCTAGTGGTCCGAATTATTCTACATTGCCACTTGTTCCCTATTCCTGCAAGACCAATCAGATTGCCGGATTATGCCTGACCCCAATTGTAAGCGCGCTTCCGCTCGCCAAAAATGCCATGCATTCGCCTACTAGTAGTATACACAACCGTGTGCAGCCCTCACATTATGTAGGCGATATCACAAGCGCCCAGCCGTTTTAACAGTCCTGCTGTTTGGCGCGCGGGTAGTTCCGTGGCAACCACACTTGAGCGCATGCGCAGTAGGTACAGCAACTACGGCGCGTTCGTGCCGTAATGATGCGACCTGAAAACGTATGTGTAATATTGAGCCCAACTTGAGCCTTTTTCTACAATCAGTACTAACAAATATATAGAGTGAAGGACAGTATGCAGCTACTTGACGTACAACTCAACCAGTTCCACTGTTATGTTGTCATGTGTTATGGGGCCATCGAGACACATTCTCAGCTCGAGGTCATCGTTAGTTGCCTGGTTGACGGTTTTGGTGAAATATGGAGAATTGTGGAAAGAGACAGTCTTCACCATCCAGAGAGTGTCATTGGAGTGGAGTCTGTACTCTGCAGTACTATTTCGTTATCCAGGATACACATACCCAGACTCACAGAAGTAATCTTCTCCAAGAAATGAAGGGGCTCCCACAGAACCACCATCACATGGACAAGTGATGTATTTTCCCATGGTCCAGCTGCAAATGTCCAGATGTGTTGTCGAGGACTGCCATGCATTACAGCCACACCACTGACATAGGCACTGTCAATTGTAGTTTGTCTACCATTGTTATACCCATAGAAGGCATACAGCAGTCCATACTGGTAGGCTCTGATCCTGCCACACACCTGACTGTATGGTCCTCCACTGACAGGGAAGAAGACTGAGTCACAATTCCGTTGCCCAGTACTAACTTTGCCACAAATTCTCTTGGGGTATCCAGTGAGCTGCCAGCCAGAGGGACAGTTGGTGTTGGGGTCTGTCATATCCAGGTAGACTGCATGTCTCCAACCTCCTGTACCTCCACTATAGTATGTGTGACCACTATTTTGTTGTGTTAGATTCTTCTTTATTTCCTTTAACTCAGTTGTCATTGCAGTCTCATGTTCCTGCATTTTGTCACACATTGCAGTGGTTGTGTTACTGACACCATTTAACTCAGTCTTGACATCATCGAAATCATCTCTCATTGATTCATTCAGAGAACTCAGTCTGGTGTCAAGTTTAGTCACTGCAGATGTAGTCTGCTGGCTGTGTGTTTGTAGGTGTCCACTAAGATCACTGATGATTTCATTGACACGGCTTAACTCAGTCTTGACACAGTTGAGATCATCTCTCATTGATTCATTCAGATCACTTAGTCTAGTGTCAAGTTGAGCCACTGCAGATGTGATCTGCTGGCTGTGTGTCTGTAGGTGTCCACTTAGATCACTGATGATTTCATTGACACGGCTTAACTCAGTCTTGACACAGTAGAGATCGTCTCTCATGGAGCTGTTCACCAAGCCAAGCTGCTGCCTCAGTGTCTCATTGATAGCAGAAGATCTCTCCTTAACCAACTGCCCAATCTCTCTCTTGATATTCTCTTCCATGTTGTTTCAGTAGAGCCCTCAATACGGCACTACGCACTGCCTCAATTGGTGGATTATCAATGATGAACTGGAGAGAGGATCCCAGATCAGCTAATTCAGATGCAGTTTCATTCTTGTGGTATTCCAGTTCCTCAACTAGATGATTGACTGTCTCACTGAGATTGGCTATTTCACTCTTCACACAGCTAATGTATTCCTTCAACTCATTCAATAGGGGACTCAGAGTTTCGAACACAGCTGCTGCAATCCTAGCAACTGTAGCCAGCACACAGTGAATTTTGACCAAGTATTTCTTTTGTACTTACCATCAGATTGAGACTGTCCAGGCTGTACATTACACACTGTCACTAGACACAAGACCAGCAGAAAAGACCTGCTCGTCTTGGGAGTAGCTATGTAGGCTGCAATGCATGCACCACTACAGCCAAACTAACTATGTACAAGTAACCCTGCAGCTAAAGAGTTACAATAACAGAGGGACTCTAAAAGGCATTAGGTTGCACTATACAATCTTCCCACGCTGATAAAACCCTCCCTCCCTATACCAGCTTGCATAACTGGGAAGATTAGCAGATACACTGAAACTACTATCAGAGCGTATATAGGGATGACATGAGTGAAATCTCACGTGATCCACGTACAAAACGCCTCAAAACTCAGCGACAATGACTCACCAGGGCTTCAAAATCACTAGCAATAGTCTAGAGGCCAATACCTAGCTATACATATGCCCCAAGACTTCCTACGTGCCCTCAGTTCCCCACGAGAGAATTCGCACTTACGCGATTTCGCGATTTTCGTGTCATCATCATAACATTCTTCTTCTTCTTCTTCTTCATACCCGCTAGCTCCTTACCGGAAGCAGTTGAAGCGTTGATTTTTCCACAGAAAGTCTCCAAATTTGCCGGAGGTGTGCACGCATATCAAGCGATCGCTTGTTTCTTGCCGCAAGTCACTACGGTAGATCGTTGAGCTATTCCACGGTAGTCACTGGACAACGCCATTTGCTGCTAACTCAGCATCCGTGAGCCGCATGCGCCGAGGAGGGCGTTTCCCCAATGCGGTGCGCGCGCATTACTATAGTCTCGTGCGTGAACCAGGTCTACGAGACTAAGCCAGGATGCCTGCAGAGGAACTCTTATCCTCCAGTGCCTTCTGTAAGTCAGTATACACATTTTTAACTGGCTAGCTTGCGTTTTGCTGCTGATTTGTACGAGGAGCAACTTGGCAATGTGCGCCGTTTTACGCGGGCCTTGCCCAGCGCCTTCATTGTTTGTCCCCCAGGTTATAGCTATCATTGTAGTCTGATTACTGAAGCCTGCCTACGAAACCACCCCACCATATGTGCCACAACCTAACTGCATCGTTGTTGGAGACACTACGCATACACCCTGCTTCAGGTACATTAGCTTCTGCTTTCAACAGTTATCTGTACAACACCCATAAACATCAGAGTGACTGAAAATGCAGAAGGCATGAAAAATAGTGGAAACAAGTGGGAAAATCATTTCTTCAAAATGAAGGGGTGATATAGGGATGGCTTGAAGCAGCAAAAAGGAAGAAACAAGGGGTCATTACACAGCAAAGATGCACCAAGCTACATGACACCATCCCTATATCTTTGTGTTATATAGTAAAGTTTACTATGAGACAAAGATATAGGGATGGTGTCATGTAGCTTGGTGCATCTTGGCTGTGTAATGACCCCTTGTTTCTTCCTTTTTGGTGCTTCAAGCCATCCCTATATCACCCCTTCATTTTGAAGAAATGATTTTTCCACTTGTACAACTACAGATGTTCCAAACTCCTTTGACCAGCTCACAGGGAACATTTCCCTTATACAGTAAAATTACTTTCTCTGAGGTTGAAAGACTGAATGAAATGTAACAATACAATCATTAGGGAGAGCTGTATGAGTCTTCAGTCAACTGATGATGTGTGACAGTGTTATCATGAGGGTTAGCAGCGAGAGAGGGAGGAGAAGGAGGAGTGAGGTTTAAATAGGTGAGACACTCTGTAATGGCGTGAGCAGCTTCTCTGTCAGACAGAGCCACTTCACTGAGTCTGTGTTCATGTCTCCTTATCTGACTGTTGGGAGAGAGGGAGTGAGCGGGTAATGAAGTAAGAGAGGGATTATACATATATGTTTATTGTATTTTGCGTGGGCGAATCAAAGGCGCCGCCAGTACTATATTCATCATACAGAACGGTTTTTGAATGAACTGTACTATATCGCGCGGAACTGTACTATATCACACGAACTGTACTATATCCGCGGACTAGCGTACGCTTTGCGGGAATGACGCCTCGGCGGCCTTTCGTAGACGGAGGTCGACTCAGACGGTGACACAAACAGCTGCTGGAAGGGCGCTCCGCGAGCTTCTAGTCCTTCTGAACTTGCAAAAAAAAGATTTTCCTGGCCGCCGCCTTTTGAACTATATCCGCGGACTAGCGTACGCTTTGCGGGAATGACGCCCTCGGCGGCCTTTCGTAGACGGAGTTCGACTCAGACGGTGACACAAACCGCTGCTGGAAGGGCGCTCCGCGAGCTTCTCGTCCTCTCTTCCGTTCTGAACGCCGGTTTTCCTGGTCGCCGCCTTTTGAATCGCCCACGCATACAATAAATTACTTAATGTACGGAAGCACGTGCTGTGCGCGTGATAATGGTACTCGGAACGTGGTCTCGATAGATCATACAGCAACTCGGCTGCGCCTCGTGCTGTATGACTATCTCGACCACGCCCCTCGTACCATTATTACGCGCACAGCACTGACTTCCGTACATTACATATAGAACATGTGGGTGTTGGGATAAATGTACTAAAAGAGGAAGAAACAAAACAGGGAAGAGGTGTTCTATACCAGTGAGTGGAGGGAGCCATTCGACACAGGTTTCTGAGGACCAGAGCAGCTGTCACACGAACTGCCTTTGTCAGAGGAGACTCCACTTCATTCTGCAGCAGTAATCGAAACATAAATTACAAGTTTGTAAACAACAACAAACAGCCTCAGGCAATTAAGTGCTGTTTTCCTATAACTTTGTAAACTTAGCTATCTAGCTACTTTGGAAGTGAAATAAAAATGTGGATGACAACTAACAGACTGAGGCTATAAATACGTGTTACTTTTTATATGCCCCAATGCATGTGCATGCCGTAAAAAAGGAAAGTAGACAATTAAGTAAATAAAAAATTATGCTTATTAAAAAAGTGTGGAATATAGGGATGCCATAAAAGCAAGGAGACAAGACAGGGATGACCTGGGCATGTGATGCAGTATAATTATAGTACAATGGGATGATTGTTACATCTTCAAACTGACATTTCTTGCTCATGTAAATTTTACTCCACACTGGCCCTATATTGTTGCAAAGCACTAGTGATCTCTATCGTATGATGTGCAGCTATGACTCGTTTCCTATGCATGTAAGACTGGTAGCAAATGCCCTCTCTGACAGGTCCTCAGGTGACTGTGTTTACTTCAATGTTCGCTCAACTAACAAGTTTTACAATGCTGCTTTCCCTACAGAATTCGTTTGCCAGTCTTCACACTACATTATTAAAAGCTCATGTCATGAGTAAGAGTGGCGACAATATAGGGCTTGTGTGGAGTAAAATTTACATGAGCAAGAAATGTCAGTTTGAAGATGTAACAATCATCCCATTGTACTACTGCATCACATGCCCAGGTCATCCCTGTCTTGTCTCCTTGCTTTTTATGGCACCCCTATATTCCACACTTTTTTAATTCGCAGAATATTTTATTTACTTGTAATTATACTTTTAGCTGGCTGAGAAAATTTTGTGCTCCCAATCCTTCTTCTAAATGTCGACCTCTCAGCCTCGATTTATACATAATATTGATTGCATCACTTTACCCCTTCTGAGCATATTCTTGTAGTCTGAAAGTGTGTAGCTAAACAAAACAGTGCACAATTTTGAAAGTTTATGTAATGTATGAGGGAATAGTGCGTGAGTCTAATTAAACAGAATATAAGTACTGAACAAATCTACAGTCCTACAGTATACGTTCACTTGTCCTCTCCTGGTATCATCTCATACATCTTCTCTTCCTCAATCTGTCCAATATCATATGATGGTGAGATGGTAGAAGCACCCTCTATCCCCACTGGCTTTCTCTTTGTCATCCCATAGGCTGTATTAGTAGCTGTGTGTATAGTAGTCCCTTCCGTTGAAGTGTTCTTGATAGTGTGAGGACGATTCTTTAGAACTAGAGCAACTATAGCTATAATGGTAGCTGCAGTGATTAGAGCAATGGCAATTGCAACTGCCCCTCCAATAATTGCTGGAGTGTTTTCAGCAAATGCACAATTCTGAGCAGATGAAATTTGAGGTAATGCGAGGTGTAGGAGATGTTGTAGTTGGTGGAGAGCACTCTGGTTCACCAGGAGAAGAGATGGTCACTGAACACTGTGAATCTACTGTCCTTAGTACTCCAGCCACAATGATGCTGGCCCCGCCTCCTCTCACCCAGGCCTCTATCAAAAGGATGAGTGAGCCACTATCAGTATCTGAGGTCCCTTCCAGTCTGGCTCGATAGGTCAGGAATGATGGAGATTCCTCAAAACAGGAAAACGACTGTCTGTCTATGTTTTCACTAGTACATTCGGCACATAAAGCCTCCAGCTGCTCCAATAAAGCAGCTCTAACATCCTCCAGTTTCTGCTCTGTAAGTGTTGCCTATAGTGCAGAGGCCTCTAAAACTCAGCAATTGATAGATAAACTTACTAATACTTTTGTGCAAGGTAACACTCCTTTTAGCCGCAGTTGAAAATAGGTATCTGAGAGGTTTTTCAGTGGTGAATAGTTGCTGTATTAATTTTGTTAGCTTACAGCCTAATTTTGTAGTGAAGGTAGCTCTAGCAGGAGGCCCCGAGCCCCAGAGGTTGTTAGGAGTCAGAGAACAGAGATAGAGAGTGTTGGGAGAGAAGCCAGTGGCAGTAAGGCTCCCAGACTGGGAGGAGGGGTACTGGGGGAGGGAGGAGGGGGAGGGGGAGCAGGAGAGGGTGTAGTTATCAATGGCTCTATGGAGATGAGTCACATGTGGAGACCAGGAGAACACCACGTCTCTCTCCAGCAACTGCCTTGAACATCTCTGGAGCATTCGTGGGAGCTATAGAAAGTGTCAAGAGGAAAACAACTGCTTAGGGATAGCAAGAAAAACATACCTTCCAGTGTAAACGCTCTCATCACTGAAGTGTTGGATGGCTTGTTATTAGCCACAGTACAGTTGTAGAGTCCAGGCAGTCTCCCAGTCACAGTCAGGGTGTGGGTGTACTGTGCAGTCACTGGGTAATTCAACACAGTCTGGGTTCCTTGGGTGACAGTGGTGGAGTCTCTGGTCCAAGTGACAGTGGTAGCAGGTCAACCAGTGGAGATACAGGCCAAGGTGAACTGAGGACTGGCTCCATTGAGGTCTGAAAACTCTGAGTAGACTATATCTCCTGATATCCTAATATCTCCTGCGGTAACAGTTTGATAGTCATAAGTCAGCTCTGTCCTGTCTGTATACAATGCATATTATCCTATAAAAACGGAAGCAGACCCAGCATCACATAACTACTAGGTGGTTACCTCCACTAGCAGCATACAGTCCCACATAGACTGTGTCTCTCACTGATATGTCACTATCATCATGGGCAGAAAGAGTTGGAATATCACAGCGATAGATACCAGTTGGTGAGTTAGCATCTCTGTTACGATGGAAGTCAACTCTCTCAGCTCCACGAAACTCAACATCAGGTGCAGGGAATGGCAGTCTAGTTCCACCAGGGAAATACCAGTCTCCACGATGAGCACCATCCATACCAGTACAACATGTGCTCAGGTCAGTGACACACTGAACACCTTCACCATCATTAACATCAGGTCTCCCCACTAGACTGATGTCCACATAGGAATTCTTGGCCAGAGTCGTGCCATTGAAGGAGACGTAAGGAGGCTCAGCAGTAGTACCCACACCCTCATACTTCACCTACAGTGAATGATACGCGACTCTATTGCACTTTGTAGCTGGCTCCCCGCCGCGTAGCTACCTATGTAGATACGCTATACTTCAGTCATTTCAACCCAGCTGAAACTCACAATGTTCAATTGGAGCTTGGAAATCAAGA